ATAATTTATTTTTGATTTAATAATATAACATTTTATAAAGATAATAATTAAGTATTCTATTAGAACTCACTGATTATCCTGTTTATATTTTAGATTTTTTATATTTAAAATGAGATGTTTATCTTGTATTTGATTGTGTTTATCTGCAGTTAGTTACACGAATTCAGATATGGGATGAATTTGGATAGGAATGAACGAGTTTAAGAGTTTTTAAGAGTTTTAGCCAAATGTTTTATAAGATAGTATAGATATATATATATATATATATATATATGCTCCCATAATGGTGTGATTCATAGGACAAGAGTGAATTATTGTTGTTTAATTTGACCCCATGTGGGAAATTGGATGAGAGAAGCAACTTGCGTACTTTAGTGCGATAAACCATGTGCCCTTGCAAACCAACTTCCCCTATTTTCATATTCAAAATTTTTTATTTTCAAATATTATTAATTATTATTTAATCCTAAATTTAATATTAAATTTATTATTTATAACTTTGTTTTTTTTAATCAATTATAAAAATAAGGTTTTTAAAATTCTAAAATATCATATAAAAATACGATAATTTTGTTAATCCATCTCTTTATAACGAATATTTTGTCTGATTTACCTAAAAATGGACCAATTTATGTTATATCTGATCTCAAACAGTAAAATCGAGAAAATAGTTTCTAGTTAGTGAAAATGTAACCTTCATGGTGTTTTTGTTGTGAAGGTTCGGCTTTTTTTTTACCTTCACAACGTTTTGCTGTGAAGTTTCAAGGGTAAAAAAGTGGTTTAATGAAAACAAACTGGTCTTACATGAACCCAACCCTAACCAGTAATCTTTAATTTTGTAATTTTTAAGTAATGTGGTCTTTAAACTTTAAAAACTTGGATGTGTTGTGTCATGTTTATCAATTTTAAAAGGTTTTAGGGGGTCGTTTACCAAACACTTACCTAGTAAGTACTTGTCGGTAAAATTCAACAATATCATTTACTTAATCGGGTAAGATTTTTAGTCAACAAAAACGGCATCATATGCAACAATTTTACCCGGTAAGCATTAATTGTGGTAAGAGTCATTGCCCTCACTTACCAGATAAGACTTTTGGTCCCCACCTCGCTCTTATCGGGTAAAATTCTTGGTCCCCAAATTTACATGTGTTTAGGGTTTTTTATCGACATGTATAAAACTATAGCCGAAGTTATTTAGTTTCAAACCATTAACTGTTTGGTTTTAAATTCAAATCATTAATGGTTTAGGTTTAGTTTCAGATTGCGAATCGTTTTAGGTTTAGCTCATTTTTGTTTTTGACATATATTCTCTGTTATCTCATTTATACAATGTAATCAAAAGTTTTGGATGTAGCAGGGCCTCCAAAAAGATTTGAACATTCCTGCTAAAATACCCTTCATTTAACTGGACTTAACGAAAAATATTAACGACCAGTAAACAAAAAAAAAAACCAAAACCATTGAGAATTGACAAATATAAGAGATTGATCTGAGTTTTTAAAGTGTAGAGACGATAACCGTTGAAAATTGTTTCGGACCAAAAAAATATTTATTTTAAAAATAATAAAAAAATAATAAAAATAATAAAAAAATGGATGGTAGAAATCTAAAAAAGGAATAATAAAAAGGTGAAGGTCGGTTCTAAACATCAAATATGTCGGTAGAAAAGATAAGACGATAAAAAGAAATATTCAAATGGTTTGAATGATTTTTAAATTTTTTTTATTTTTTATTTTTTATTTTTTATTTTTTTATTGATCTGTGGATCGAATCCACTATTGCGAACCCCAGTTAGATTCAGGCATGCTACATTTTTTAGTTATTGAGAGAACCCAAGTATGCTCTTTAAGATTCAGGAAACCATAAAGGGTGGTGTCTGATTGGTTTAAACTTGGCTCCAATGATCAAAAGTATTAGGAGGTCACAGGTTCAAATCTAAGGGGGAATAAAAATCTCGTTGTGGCCACGGAGGTTCAAATGCGGTAACTCTGGGCTATCTACAAAGCAGGTGGTCGTCCTGGGATTAGTCGGTATTGGATATCCAGATTAATAAAAAAAAGCTCTCATAGATCTTTTTTCGTTTTGATAACGAGTCAAAGCGGGTTTAAATAAAAAAAATTATTAAAATAAGAATAATCGAATTCTTTTTAATAAATTGAATTAAAATGTATAAGTAATTATATACATTTGGGACCATTTTCGACCTGTTTAAGCGGTTTAGGAATAAACGTGTTGAAATTGTCACCTCTACTGCAAGTTTGCGACTGCGTTATTCGGTTTTTGATTAATGGAACTTTACGGATTTTGAGTTTGCTGTCATGTATATTGAAACCAAATAAAAAATATCAGATCATCTTTAGTGGGGATATCTGATCTGACATCAAATACCAAATCTAACGCTATAGCGTTGGAGCCCAGATAGGTTCAATCGCTGAGTGAGCTAAAAAAATGTCATCTCATATTGGTATCTCTAAAAGCAGTTTTGTGTGAAATTGATTGAGATTGCAGTAATCAATTTTTTTATCAAAATATTATTCTTAATTTGATTAATAAACTTTTTTTCTATTAACCTGAATATCTAACCCGCGATAAGAACTGATTAATCCCATGACAACCACCTGCTTTGCAGATAGCCCGGAGTTACCGCATTTGAACATCCGTGACCAGAAGGGGTTGATTAGTAAACTTTAGAAATGATTATTAAAACAATCAAACTTCTAAAAATTGTTATAAAAAATTAAAAAATCAATTTATCAAGAAAAAAAATAGTGATTATAAAAGATTTACCAAATAGTTGCAAACTAAGAAGAAACTTAATGGTATGGTTATTACGTCGATTGAACCTATACTAATACTAGGGGTGTTTATGGGTTGGGTTGATCGGGTTGAAGACATTTGAACAATCTAACACAATGCTTGCGGTTTGAAAAATCTCAACCCAACCCAATGTTTGAAATTTGAAAAATCTCAACTCAACTCAATGCTTGAGGTTTGGAAAATCTTAACCCAACCCAAACCAAACCAATACAACTCAAACTGTACGGGTTGGTCGGGATGATACTTTGGTACATTAAAATATTCTTCTAACTTTAAATATGTTATTTCTCAACTCATAATTTATTTTTCATTATCAACCATTTGATACAACTTATCCATACTTGTTACGTATATCACATTCAGTTAATTTTCTCAATTTATATATATATGTTCACAATTACTGAACATATATACGAATAAATTATATAGAAATGTGAATAGATTGAAAATATGTGTATATGAAGAGCGTACATGATAGTTATTTGTCTAATGTATATATTAATAAAAATTCAACAATCATATTAAATCCAAGAAATAAAAGGATATCAGGTTCATCAGGTTGGATTAGGTTCAAATAATAGTAAACCAATATCAACCAAATACCTACAGTTTGAAAATTTTACAACTCGATTAAACATCAGATTGTTTCGGGTTGAGTTATTTCGCGTTGTGGTTGGTCGGGTTTTTGAGCACCCCTAACTGATACAGCAGAATACTTACGTTTAAAAATTATAGAACAAATTGATAAACACATTCAAATATATTAAACGTGTTGAACCTATTAATATGGCATAATACTCCCTAAATTTCGGATTTTCTTTTTTAACAATGAATTGTATTAACTTTTTATTCTCGGTTTATAATAACAGTTTGATTGATCCCACAGCAGTACACGTGAATACAACTAACATATATACACAAACATGGTCATATAAGAACATGCACACACATACGTCTGAGTCGAATTTAGGGTCTAAGAAGGTAAGATGTATACAAACTTAATATTTACCACCAAAGAATAAAACTGTTGTTTTCATTAAGAACCCAATTTACAGAAGATGAAAGAGAAAAGAGTGTCAGATAAGATAAAATTTTAAAAGATAGGTAAGGGGTCATTTACCCAAATGTTTACCCAATAAATGTTTATAATAGGAGTCAACACTATAATTTATTTTATAAAATTGTAGTACATTAAAACATATTCTATGCAACAATTTACCTGCTAAGCGCTTATCCGGATAGAAGTCGTCACCGTCGCTTACCGGATAAGACTCTCCATCCTTTTCGTCGCTCTTAACGAGTAAGATTATTGGCTCTTATCATGTTTATCCGGTGAGAAAAATTGTCTGGTAAGTACTTACTGAGTAAGCGTTTAGTAAATGACTCCTAAGATAGTTTGTATTTCACAGGATTTATATGATTCATTTGTAATAATGTTCTAAAATATATATTAAAAACTTTTGTTTCAAAATATTCAATTAATAAAATAATAACTTAATCATTTATAATTTATTTTTATAAATTATCCATAAAAAATACAATTTAATTCCATTTTAAATCATAAAAATCAAAATTTTCAAATCCTTTAAAAACATTATTTCAAATAAAACCTTCAACCAGTAAAGCTTTTGGATGTTAGTGTCACGAAATTTTAATGATTGTTTAACAGTTGCTGAATGGTTTGGTACAAAATGATTAAGTAGCTCTCATGATATAATAAAAAATAAACTATAATTGTTTGATAATTGTTTACAATAAAATTAGAATGCTAAATAATTAAAGGAAACCCATGATACAAAATCATTCAGAAGATTTTTAAACCATTAAAAGATAGACTTTCTTTTATCAAACAAGATTCACCTCTTAACAATTTAGAAGTAACCTCTTAATGGAACTATTAAGACGTAAACAAACAACCCATAGATTAGATATATAATAAAATGTACATTTTCTTACCATATTATGGTAATGAGAAGCTAAACTTGAGGTAGTTCTATTCAAACCATAACCTACTCATAACAAGAAAAAAAAACACTACCCACCCCCACCCCC